TTGGTTTTTCCACACGCTTCTTGCGACCCTGTTGACTATTTTGAATGAAACGCTTGATTGTTCGATGATCACGCTTCAGAAGCTTTGCAATTTTGAGACTGCTGCATCCCTCTGCAAGATATCTCACTATTTTTGACTTTTCTGAGCCTGTCAAGTCCTTCTTTTGACCCATTTTGCCAAAGGAAAGGACGTTGCCTAATAATTATGCACACCTGATATAGGGTGTTGATGTCATTAGACCACACCCCTTCTCATTACAGAGATGCACATCACCTAATATGCTTAATTGGTAGTAGGCTTTCGAGCCTATACAGCTTGGAGTAAGACAACATGCATGAAGAGGATGATGTGGACAAAATACTCATTTGCCTAATAATTCTGCACTCCCTGTAATAATACACTTCACAGCACCCAACCTTTGTGCGTGTACAACATTTTTAGAGGAAGATTATTAAACCTGTACCAATAAACCCTCTGGGTTTGTTCAAAATCACTACCCTTTCAGCTTGTTCGTGGCCAAAAGTGGCCACCAAAAGATTAGGTCTGTAATTTTTATTATTTTTATGTTTTTTTGCCATTTTTTCTGCATAAAGCTTTTAACTAACTTCAGTTCTTTTCATAAATATAAAATAGTTATTACTTTTTAAATTTTAACCCTATAAACATCAGTTTGTTTGTCCACTCTGCTAGGTGAAAGACACTGCGCTAGAGCTGTTGGTGGCTGTAGCTCAGGATGGTAGTAGCACGTCATACTGCATTGGAAGGTTGGTGGGTTCGATTACTGGCTCCCCCAGTCTGCATGCCAAATATCCTTGGGCAAGATACTAACCCCCAATGCCCAAGCTTCATCGGAGTATGAATGTGTGTGAATGTTAGTTAGAAAGCACTTAGAAAATGTGCTTAAAGAAAGAAGCACATTCCTCTGTTGCTTTGGCATGTGGGATATTGCTGTGGTAGTTTTGGTGAAGCCAAAGACAGACAACAAAATCTTCCTCTGTTGCAACTGGAGGAGCTGGGGAGGAAGCTCTGGGTTGTTTCCCCTGTGCCAGTTTTCATCTGAGGAGTTCCTCTGCCAAGGTGACCGAAGGAAAGACGTTGTCCTCGGAGCTCCTCCGTCAGTTGGAGTCTGAACCCCTTTCCCTTTTTTACTTCCTGAGAACTTCCAGTGTTGTCATCCAACATGCTATGTATTGCTTTATTCTGGTTTAGGCTCACATCTCCACTTCATCTATAATCCTCCAGTCCTCACACCTTGGCCTCCCGTGCAGCTTTGTAAGGGTGCACAGCAGCTAAAAGATCTCCTTTGTTATAAAAACGTCAAAAGTAGATCTCAGGCTGCTAATGCAGGGAACTGCATACAGGCTGAGCCCTGGTTTGATACCAGTGGGTACTGGATGTAGAGCAGTCTCTCTTCAGTGGTGGGACCCACATGGTTTTCCTTTCATGAGGGATCCACTCAGTCACTCTCCTCGGTCTCAGAAAATGCTCCTATGTTCTTTTCCATCAGCTGCTCGGCCTCCACCTCCATGCCCCCCAACCCCAATCCTCCCCCAAAGAAGAGGATTCAGGCACTGGCTAGTACTCTTCATCAGTGGTGATACAGTCAGCCTCTTTGGAGATTGTCCCCTCATCTTCTGGAGAGGAAGTTTCTTCATCTTGGGCAGATGTCTTTTCTTCAAGGGCAGAGGACTGCTGCTGTCCTTGCTCTCTGACCAGATCATACAGACAGTGCTTGTAGCAGTGATGATCTGGAAGCTGTTAGGCTGACTTACAGCAGTAGCTCTGTCTGCACCTGCAGAAACTCCAGGACACGTTTATAGTGTTTGTTGTTGTTTGCGCTGCAGCTGCAGGTTTGAACTCAGTAAAATGTCCTGTGATTGGGTTTTTTTGTTTTTGTTTCTAGAGTTAATATTTTGGGTATGGTCTCTTTATATAAAAAATACAAGAGTAAAAGTGCTTTTAACATGTGCTTCAAAGTTAAGTTTGACTGGGAACCTCAAAGCTCAACAGCCTGCATCCACAGAAACTCACTGCAGCCTATGTAATGTTTGATGCGTCATTATTTATTCCACTCTATCTTGCAAATACATGTTTGTGCTGCAATGTCATGCACAAACACAAACTATTAGATCCTTAAGATCAAACCTATGTCAAAATTGTGTCATTATTTTGGTCCATTGGAGTGAGGTAAGCCATCAAAGGCTGCTACTAGAAACTCAGAATATTACATGAAATCGCTTGTTTGGCCAAAAATGGGTAAATGATGTAATTTGGTAAAAAACATTTATAACTACAATTTTCATGTGTTGAGTTTAGAATGAAAGCAATTTGATCTAAATCGCAGGATATAGTACTGTCAATAACAAGGAATCAAAAAGGTGGTTATAATGGGTTTCAATTGGCCAATGTTACGACCCGGCTCAAAAGCCGCAACATAAAAACAGAGATGAATAACAGAGTGTGAGTGAGAAGAGGTTTCATCCTAAAATGGAAAACCAGGTTGGCTAAAATGGCTGGTGCCACCAAGGCAAAGACTAGTGCACTCCCGGGAAGCTTGCCTCAGGTATGCTTTTATCCACACCTGACTAGGTGTGGCCAATTAGCACCAGCTGAAAACACTGAGACGATTAGAAGCTGCAGAGGGACGTAACACCAAAAATGGCCACGATAGAGTCAAGAGGAACAATTTGGTGTATAGTGAATATTATTGACATTATTAAGGAGCTGATGTTGAAAATTAAAAAAATATAGACCTTTGGGAAGTTTCATTCCATTTGCATTAACAGAGCGAAAATGGTTGAAAAAAGAAAAGTGAACAAATAGCCAGGATAGAGCCCAGAGGGTTAAAGCTAACACAATGAACATCTTTTTAATTGGGAAAAAAAAAATAACAACATTATGGAATAAAAATAACAAAAATAAAACTCATTAACTAAAAACACAAAAAAGGGATAGAAATATTATATATATCAAATATTTATGAAAGGCTATCAAGGATGATCATTTTATAAGAAGATATTTTAAAAATGATCTAATTTCAATGGGCAGACTTTTCCACTTTTGTTTGCTAACCTTGAAATAAA